ACAGGTTTCTGAAAGTTTTATCAGAAACCGTGCAAAATCCGAGGGGACATGTTTTCTGAAAGTTTCATCAGAGAACTGTTCCGTGCAAAATCCGTGCATTTACAGGTTTCTGAAAGTTTTATCAGAAACCGTGCAAAATCCGAGGGGACATGTTTTCTGAAAGTTTCATCAGAGAACTGTTCCGTGCAAAATCCGTGCACAGATTTCTGAAAGTTTTATCAGAAACTCGTTTCGTGCAAAATCCGTGCGTACACCATTTTCTGAAAGTTTTATCAGGAACCGTGCAAAATCCGAGGGGACATGTTTTCTGAAAGTTTCATCAGAGAATTGTTCCGTGCAAAATCCGTGCACAGATTTCTGAAAGTTTTATCAGAAACTCGTTTCGTGCAAAATCCGTGCGTTTACAGATTTCTGAAAGTTTTATCAGAAACTCGTTTCGTGCAAAATCCGTGCGTACACCATTTTCTCAAAGTTTTATCAGAAGATGTTCCGTGCAAAATCCAGTCCGCAATGTGCAAAATCTATGCAGATTTCTGCAATTCTCTATGTGGACCTGAACAAGAGGCTCCTATGAGATCCATCCTCAGGTCTCTAGTGAACCAGAGCGAGAAGCTTCGATGAGACCTCAGTCTCAGGTCCCCACGAATCTGAAAGGAGGCTCCTATGAGATTCAACCTCAGGTTTCCAGTGAACCAGAGCAAGAGGCTCCTATGAGACCTCAACCTCAGGTCCCCGCGAATCTGAGCGAAAGCTTCCTATGAGACCTCAGCCTCAGGTCTCTGCGAAGCTGAACATGAGGCTCCTATGAGACCTCAGCCTCAGGTCCCCGCGAATCTGAACAAGAGACTTTTCGGAGATTCCAGCCGAATCGGAGCCTGGTACGATATCAGACAGGTACCTGGTGCGATACCAAACAGGTACCAGATACAATACCTAGCCAGAACCAGGCCCAACTATCTAAAGATCCCGAGACCTCTTATCCGAATGTCACGAGACCTGTTATCGAAAGGTCTCGAGACCTCTTATCGAAAGGTCCCGAGACCTCTTATCTGAAGGTCACGAGACCTCTTATCGAAAGGTCCCGAGACCTGTTACCGAAAGGTCCCGAGACCTCTTATCCAAAGGTATCTGATACGATACCTTCCCAGAGTTATGGCTCACCAAACAACGGAGGCTCCAACGCACTGATCCCGGAGCTTCAATGCACTGATCACCGCTCAGAGCAACAGCTTTCGGCCTTCGGTTGATGCTCAACCCGATAAGACTACCACTGGAACAACTAACCCAAGGTCCTCCAGTGGAAACAGCTCCGGGGTAACAGCCCCCGAGAATCCTCAGCGTCAACCCGCTCCGAATCAATCGGAGGCTCAGCTATCTGAGATCCGTCGAATGATGGTGCAGTTAGTAGACAGAGCTCAAGAGAATGAGCGCACGTTGCCACAGCTAACTGCTCAGCAGCAACGATTCGAAGAGCACTGCTCCAGATAGGCAGGGACCTGTTCTCCAGACACCCTATGCTGGAACAGCTCCCGCATTTAAACTACCTGTAACCAGCGCTATGGGAAGTAACGTAGTGACAGGGACCTGTTCTCCAGATAGGCAGGGACCTGCTCTCCAGACACCCTATGCTGGAACAGCTCCCGCATTTAAGCTACCTGTAACCAGCGCCATGGGAAGTAACGTAGCGACAGGGACCTGTTCTCCAGATAGGTAGGGACCTGTTCTCCAGACACCCTATGCTGGAACAGCTCCCGCATTTAAGCCACCTGTAACTAGCGCTATAGGAGGTAACATAGCGACAACCAGCTCTATGCTTGATCGGGTCACCGACCATAGCACACGCTTGCCACCTTCTCCACTTGTTTTCAGGTCCGGAGAAGGAATATCCTTTCCTTCTGGGGGCAGAACATCGGCTTCGGCTTATCGGACTGGAAATGTAACCCTGAATCTGGGCGCTCATTAAAGGGCGGAAGCTGACCCCACAGCTCACCCCACTAGTGACACTCCTCAAAATAACCCAAGAGCTAGTGAGCAATTTAGCCATGCGGCTGCCTGGAAGAATGGCCAAACTCGACTCCGTTAGGAACCTGTTCGTCAGCTCTCCAAAAGCTGAACGCTCAAGTACACAAAGCAACGAGCTCAGCTCCCAAATCGAGAGCTTGATTGAGGAAACCTGTGGAACCCCATTCACAGATAAAATCGTTAGCTCTTACATAAGAGATACCCGAAAAATTAGGATTCCCGAATATGACGGGACCTCAGACCCCAAAGCTCATTTGAGAGCCTTCCGCTTAGCTATAGTGAAAGCTCGTTTCACAAGAGAAGAATGCGAAGCAGGTTATTGCAGGACCTTTGCTGAGAACCTGGTCGGAACAGCTCTCGAATGGTTTTCAAGCCTCGAGCCGAACTCAATCGATAGCTTCGATCAGCTCACTAACTCCTTCATGAAACAATACTCGACCCATATCCTTAAGCAAGCCTCCGAGGCTGACCTCTA